AAACAAAACTAATATTATTATTATTACTATTATTATTATTACTATTAATAATAATATTATTATTACTATTGCTATTATTATTATTATGATTATTGCTGTTATTACTATTATTATTATTATTACTATTATTATTATTATATTTATTTTATATTATTATTATTATTTCCATTATTATTAATATTTCTATCATTATTATCATTACTAATATTATTTTAACTAATATAATAATTATTTTAATTTAAATTGAATTTATATCAGATCCAATTAGATTAGATTAGATCATATCAGATCAGATCAAAGTTTCAAAAAATTAGATCAGATCAGATGAACTGAATGCAACCTTAACCATTATAAATTTAATTAATCTGAAAACATACCCCCTTGAAAATTCAATACCAAAATACACTTCCCTTAAATCCTTCTTTAAAAAAAATATTACTCTCCTAGGGGCTATTTCGTTGGAGGGGAAGGGAAGAAAGAAATTATGTTAGTTAAAAAATATTAAGGGTTAGGAGACAAAAATTTTAAATTCAATTCTATGTCCTCCCCCAAATCAATCCTTCTAAATGAGACGATTTCTTCTCTCGTGTCCTTTTCTTCTTCTTTCGTCATTTTTTTCACATTACCTTAAAAAATAATACTCCCTCCGTTCCAAAAAGATTTACACCTTTCAAAAAAATTGCGTCCCACAATCTCCTACCCATTTCTATAAAAAAACCACTTTTACCCCTTACTTTTTCAAACCCTACCTATCACATCATACCTTTTTTCTAATAATCTACACATCACATCCTACTTTTACCCATCACATCAAGGGTATTTTTGAAAAGTCAACACAAAATTATCCCTCCCTTAATTTCAACTTTAGTCAAAACGTGTAAATCTTTTTGAGACGGATGAAGTATAAAATAAATAAAACAAATAATAAAATTAAAATATATGAATAAAAAATAATAATAATTAATTACAAAAAAAAAAAAACATGTAAATAAATAAATAATTAGAAAATCAAATAAATCATTAAAAAACAACAAATAAAAAATAATAATAAAAATGCATAATGAAATAAATAAATAAGTAAATAAATAAAATAATAAATAATAATGAAAAATAAAGAATTAAAAATGAAAAAATAAAAAATTATGGAGTGAAATAAAAGCAAAAAAATAATATACTATGTAATAAAATAAAAAATAAAAAAACAAGAAAATTAATAAAAGTCATGATAAAATAAAAAATAAAATTTAATAATAATTACTTATTATAATAATAAAATAAATAAATCAATAAATAATAAAAAAAGCATAGTAATAAATAAAATAATAATAATATATTATAAAACTATATACCCAACGGTTCTTTGACCTTGGGTAAAATGACCTTCAAATGACCCATGAGACCTACAGTGCTTCGCTCGTAAAATTAATGGCCCCCTAACACACACCAAACCCCCCATTCCTACATGCACCTCGCCCCAGCTCCCTAGACCGCCAATTTGGCCTTGCCAAATCGGCGATCGGGGGGTGAGAGTAACGAGGATTGAAACAATCGATTTTATGCAGAGAACACCTAATTAAGGTGCCTCAAAATACCAAATTCATTTAAGGTCACTTTTGGCCAACGTCATAAAATCCTTTCCGAAATTTATAATAAATTAAAAAATCAAATAAAAATAGAAATTAGAAAAAAACAATAATAAAAGATAAAAACTTAAAATTATAAAAAAGAAAATGAAAAAATATAATAAAAAAGTACTTGTAACAATTTAAAAGTAGATAATGAAATAAATTTTAAGAATGAAAAATATAAAATATAAAAAAAATTGAAGATAAAACCTTTTCTTCCCTTCCAAAATCCCAAACAAACGAGGTGAAGGAAATCATTCACATCCCTTCCCATTCTTTTCCATTCATTCTTTCCCCTTCCCCTCCCTTCCAACCAAAGAGACTTGAGAACTAAGAAAATGACCTATGGAAAAATAAGTTCTTGGTTCTAAGATCAATTTTCATTTCTTGTGTTTGGCTCATTGATAGTACATAAATAAAAAAATTTATTTTTGTTGTGCCAAAAAGAATTTGATTACAGATCCATCCATTTTCCAATCAAGTGAATGGCGGCATAATTAAGATGGGAGAGATGGCGAAGGAAAACAAAGAAAAGCTAGACTCGCTGCATGCATGCAGAACGAGAAAAACCATATCCAAGGGAAAGGAAAAAGACTGTGGAGATTGGGGTGAGAGGCACCCGGTTTGAACGATTTCAGCTTTTGAAACAATAATTAGGTACTCCATTCTAATTATCTCTTAGTCTCATTCCGTTGCTCAAATATATTACTCAACTATGTCTAAATTTAACGGTCTATTTTTCAAAAAATATGAAGGTTGAAAAATTTCTTCAACATACTATTTACAAACTAACACTTTATTTGAATTCTTGGGTTTCAATTCAATAGTTTAAATTATTAGATTTTAAGGGCTCATTTGGTAAGTTTTGAAGATAAGATAAGATATGAGCTTCAAAATCTGTGAGAATTTTGAAATTTTAAAGAAAATTATTTGAAGAAAAATTTAATTTCTACAAATAAATTATAATTAAAACAAAATCAACAAGATTCAACTATTTGACAAATGGCCTCTCAAATTCCAAGATAACAAAAAAAGAAGAAGATGAATTTATAATATTTTCATAATAATTTGATAAAATTACAATTTGATATTAATTTGACAAAAAATATGAACTGATAATAATTTGATAATGAATTTTAAAAAACAATATAATTACCCTCTCTAGTTCCAAATCACTGTTAAAAAATGTACGGTTACACCCACGGGTAGACGACCGACCTGGGAAAAGAACAAGAACTAAAGAAATTTGAATTTATAATCTATTCAAATTTCACAATAGCGAAAATAAATCAAAGCAAAATTCAGAGTCAGAAGCAACGCAACGATGAAGTCCGGTTGAACAGGGAGCTCTAGGATCACCTGAAACTAGAGGAAGAGAACGAACGCGGATTCGCTGAAGCTTCGTTTAGTTAGTAGCGTCCGCCTCCTGAACTGGCTAACATATACTTTCTCCTCTTAAGATAAAATCACTATCGCACAACTCAGTTGCATGGTCTGGAATTGAACCGGTGAACGAGAAAGATGTTGAAACTATCTTTGACCGAAAAAGAAGGATTGCTAAAATATCTCTCATACTCTTCAAAGCGTGGAAGTGTTTCACTCTACGTATCTGAGAGAACAAAAGATGGCACATATATAGGCAGCTTTCGTAATGTTCAAGCAATAATGATAATCAATTATGATCCTCATTATTGTCACTACTCATGACTCATGATTAATGACCAATAATTTGTAGATTACAAATGTTTTGTTTAAGTTCTTTTCATTTAATTGGAGATTAATGGCCTGTTAATTTTGACGAAATGGATAAATTTGAATTCTACGTGAAAATATTGAAGAGTTTTTTTCCCGAGGCAAAGTACGTAGCACAACACCGGCCCGAACACGAGCCAAGGCCAAGCACTAGACCGAGGTCGAGCACAAAGCTGGGGCTGGGCATGATCCAGTCTCACGTCAGCAGGATTCGGGGTCTTTAGAGTTAGGACTACGTCCAAGTTTACGGGTCTTCAGACAAAATTGGGTGCCCCGGAGGCCCAAACTCTGTGACGTGGTCAAGTCCACTGGGTATATAGGGCCCCAGACTGTGACAGAATTCGAACTCCAAAACTTAGACAAAACGATCACTTTTGTTATTTATCAAATCCCATTTGAGAATCAATTTCTCATTCTTCCGTTCATCATTTTTGGCATATAATATATCATAATGTTCATCTGACCAAGAACACTCATCCATCAAATAACGGTTACTATAAAGATATGGAAAGGCACTTCCAATGGTGTTATAGTGATATAGAACGATACTCTGTTTAATTTTTTTCGAATACTAAATACTCGATTAGAATGCAGTCTGGATTTTTAAACTTATAACTTCTTGTTTGGAAAACTCATTGTGATACTGCAGGATCACAATTTCTTTAGCATACTTTGTACATAGTATAAATTTAAAGGCCTCTTGGTGAGGAGTAAAGATAAGGGTTTGCATATCGGAAATATCATATTTTTTAAATAAATGTTTTGCGAGAATAAAAAAGAAACCTGACATCTATTGGATCACCAAGGTTCTCATGACATTGGGAACCAATGTCATGGGATGACCCGGGGGTGCCTTTTTCAACGGAAGTTGCATTTACTCCAAGGTATGTTTCTTCTCTATGTCATCATCTTCACTTCACTAATTTTAGAATTTCTTAAACCAAATCCTGAATCCGAATTTAATATGTTTGTCTCCAATTCATCAATTGTTTCAATTTTTAAATCAATCTTTTGGTTAATTTGTTAAACTGAAAAAGGCTATAATTTTTTAAAATTTTTTAGATTTGTAATTTGGAAGTAGAGAAGGTCATTTATATTGTTATTATAAAATTATCGTCAAATTTAATATTGATAAAATATTACCAATTCATACTAGTTTACAAAGTATTGTCAAATTGCATTTTTGTCCAATTAATTTTTATTGTTAACGTGATATTATTCTAACAGATGGTCTCGTCTCGTGAAATATTGATTCTGAGACAGAGGAAACAATTACAAATGCGAATGCTATTTCTGGTCTTGTTATTTTCCAAAGCAACCAATATTTGTTTTGAGAATTAGTAAGTCTATAAAACACAGTATATAAATTCTAGATATGCTCATATATGAACTCTCTATTAGTCCAAAGATTAATCAATAAATGTACTCCCTCCATTTTATATTACTTATTTATTAATATTTTCTCTTTACATTGAAAAATGAATGAATGTAGCTCTAAAATATGTCCATTTTTGTTCATTTTTAAATGTATCAAAAAAGTTATAGTGTCAGTTATTAATATAAAATGGAGAGAGTAACGGTGATTGCTCAAGAAAAAAGGGAGCAGAGGAAAAAAAATAGTACCTCGAACAAATGATATTCCGCATCTTGAGCCAAAGTTATAAATACATAACCCCTTGATTGTCTTGGTTTCACTAAAACAAAGGATTTAAATTCGATATCACAAGTAAGAATGAAGAATACTACTTCATTCCATTTTAATTGTCTATTAATACATTTTTGATACCTTGAAAAATATATGAATGTATACATATTTATGAATGTAGAAATAAAATATGTCTATATTTATTCAATTTTTAATTAGTATAAAAACCATAAGTGATAGTTAATATGGAATGGAGCGGCTAATATGAAATACGAGTAAATAATAAAATGTGACTTTTGCCAAGAGCAGTGCTACATAGTTTTGTGGAGTGCTCTTTTGCAAAATAGGTGTGGCGCAATTCAGATCAAGGTTGGTTTACACCTACTTTGAGTTCTTTTACTAATTGGATCAAGGTTTTGCTGCAATTTTTTTAATTCTCATTACCAATATATGTTTACCTTTTTTTTTATTATATCATTTGGTCACTCTATATGGCACTCACGTAGTGTAAAAGTATTGAAACCACATTCCTTGAGTGGCAAGAGATGAACAACATTAGACATCATGGTCGGTGTGAAGATTTTGTCCAAAATTGGACTCGGCCTCCGGAAGGGATTTTGAAGATCAATGTAGACGCCTCTACATGGCTTGTGGATGACTTTTTGGGTATGAGTTTCTTGCTAGGGACTGTAATGGTCAATTTGTTGAGGCAGAGAACCTTAGTCATCGGGGGGGATTTTTGGACTTATTTCATTAGTTGATTGGTCTTATTTCATTTCTATTACTCCCTCCGTCCCATAAAGTGTTATTCATTTTGACTAAAGTTGAAATTAAGAGAGGGATAAATTTGTGTTGATTTTCCAAAAATACTCTTGATGTGATGGGTAAAAGTAGGATGTGATGTGTATATTATTAGGAAAAAGGTATGATGTGATAGGTAGGGTTTGAAAAAGTAAGAGGTAAAAGTGATTTTTTAATAGAAATGAGTAAGTGATTATGGGACGTAATTTTTTTGAAACGTGTAAATCTTTTTGGGACGGAGGGAGTATTAGGGATTGTAAAAATCTCAACGTCCGTTCTGTCAGAGATTTCTTTACATTTGTCTCGCGCTCTACTAATGAGGCGGCACATCTACTTGTGAGAGTTTCTCATTGTATCTAGAGCTTAGGGGAGTGGCTAAATTCATCCCCTAACTTTATTCACATTTAATTTAAAAGGTTTGTTATTAAAAAAAAATTAATTATGACTTTATTTCTTTATGTTGGAGTGATTCTTTTTTTAATTACTTTGTCATATTTGACTTTTGAGAGCAACGGTTTTGAACTTTTTATAACGTTAAGGGCATTGGAAATAGTTCTAAAGTTGGCTTATTTACGTTTAACGCTCTTAAAGCTTTAAACAACGCTCCCCTAGCGCGTTAAAGTGGCGTTAAGTAGGTGACCGTTAAACGTTTAACAAGTGATTTTGTGTTCATTGAAGGGCCCCACCTACTTTACAAATGGCATTGTAGCCGTTTCAACTACAACAAATTAAAAATATTTCTCTAAACTGTATAAGTACACAAATTATATATGTTACTATTGATTTAATTGTGTTAAATTATATATTTTATTTTCATAAAGGTACAAATCAAATAAGGGATGTTATGTGGGATCATATTGAGGATCGGAGGAAAAGGGAAGATAGAGAAGAAGGAGATGGAAAGAGTAGGGTCTGGGGAGGGTGTGTGTACGCAGACCTTACCCCTTCTCGAAAGTAGAGAAGTTATTTTCAAAGAGACCCCTGGCTCAACATCGAAAGTTGCATTGCTTGACTAACTGCTACTTCATTAATTAAAGAAAAGCAGACAGTTTAGAGATCCATTTTGATTTATTCTATCACATCCCAAAGCCAAAAAATGGTGAAATTTTGGCTCCATCAGAGATGATGGAACACAAAAGAATGTTAACAAGAAAAAACAAAATGAGGACAAGGCTAAATATGGTTGGGAGTATTGTGTTTTTTAATTAATGTATTTTTTGTGTTTTTTAATTTAATGTACTCTTTAAATTTAATGTATTTTTTATTTAATGAACCATTTTGTTTTTAGTTTAATTAATTAATGAAATCTTATTATTTTACTTTCATAATATATATATTAGAGAGTAGAAATATATCTAATTCTATAACAAGGAATATATTCATATGCACCAAATTAGGAAATCATTGAAATGAATCAAAAAATTATCTCGAATACTTTTCATTTTCTAGCAAAAATTCTCAAGTTTCACATCGTTTGAAACATACTTTATGGGTTTCAAAAATTCGTGGTAATGTACTCCGAGTGAACGTTCCGTCTACTTGACCATTAGATTTGAAAGTTCTAGTTCTTGGAACAATCAAATATCAAAAAATTACTTCGGGTCATCGGGTGTCTCACATTGTTTTCTAATATTAGGTCCCATATTATTAAATTTTACCTTAAATAATCATTATTTTATGAGTCATATATATATATATATATATATAGTCCCTGATGTGCTTCATAAGTGGATAAATAGTGCTCAAACTTCTAAAAGTTGTCAAATAATCCTTGTGGTCAAACAACCATAGCATAATTAGTCTCTATATTAGAAAATTCATAAAATGTACACTACACACGCGTATTATGCAAATATGTCAATCATGTAAAAGTAAAAAAAGATAATTTGAAATTTAAATTGTGATGTCTAACTTTGAATCATAGTACAATATCTTCCATCTTTTAGTTTAACTCTTCCAACGAATTCCATGTCTCTTCTATAGTGATATTCTTGAATCGTAGTACAATGTCTCATGTGAGGTCGACATTATTTTATTTTTCAAATAGCTTTATTTTAAGATAATATCGTGTGAGAAAAGAGCTAGAAAAAGACTATCCCTTGACCACGAAGACGATGGAAATTTTATGAGATTATTTTCTTCTTTTTGTTACATGCTTCACATTTTTACACAATACGCCTAGGTTCTGTGTGCTTTACGCTTTCCTAAAAGAAGGGACTAATTATGTATCAATTTTTTGACCACAGGGACTATATTGCAATCTTAAAAAGTACAAGGACTATTTACTTATATATGAAAGACCACAAGAACTATTTGTACATATAACTCTCATTTTATTAACTTGTAATAAAATCTTTCAATTTCTAAGTTAAATAACTATTATCATATTTATTATTTAAAAACTAGCTATGCTCTTTGAGGATGTTGTGCACCGTGTTGGAGCAGATTTGGCTAAGTTGAGATTGGCATCAGGAGTATTGTGCGATAAGAAGATTTCACACAAAATGAAAGGTAAGTTCTACCGGCATGTAGCTAAACTAGCTATGCTATATGGGGCGGAGTTTTGGGCGGCTAAGAAGATTCACGTGTGTCGTTTGCATATGGCGGAGATGCGGATGTTGCGGTGGATGTGTGGGTAGACGAGACTAGATAGAATTCTGAATGAGTTTATTCGAGGTCGATTAGGCATGGCGCTAGTTAGAGATAAGCTAAGGTAAGCTAGGTTGAGGGTGTTGTTGTGTGCCTTGTAGGCCTTTTATGCTTGGTGTTATTTTCTATTTGCTTGCAGTACTCTCATTTTGTAAGTTTACTTTATTTAATTCAGTTTTAATGCTGTGGAGTGATTGATTCTTTATTTGTGTTGTATATGTGCTTTCCTTGCTCTATGTATCTACTATGTGATCTTTTTATGCGCAGCTTGAGCCGGGGTCTCATGGAAACATCTCTACTTTCGGGTAGGGGCAAGGTTTGTGTACACACACCCTCCCCAGACCCTCCTTCGTGGGATCCAATTGAGTTGTTTTTGTTGTTGTTTATTATTAAAAAAACCATTGCCTCGTTTATATTTTTATCACCAAAAACAATTTTGAAATACAAAATTTATTTTACTATAAAAATACTTTTAGAATTTTATAAATATTATGAATTTTTAATACGTTGAAGTGAAAAAACTAAACTATTTTATAAAAACTTTGTTTAAAATACATACTCTCTCCGTCCCTAAATAAAGTTCCATTTTTGACTTTTTGAGGATTTAAGGGAGGGATATTTTTGTGTTGACTTTCCAAAAATACTCTTGATGTGATGTGTAAAAGTAAGATGTGATAGGTAGATTATTAGTAAAAAGGTATGATGTGGTAGTTAGGGTATGAAAAAGTAAGGGGTAAAAAGGGTTTTTTAAGGAAAAAGAGAATTTATTTAGGGACAAAGAAAAAACGAAAGAGAAACTTTATTTAGGGACGGAGGGAGTATTTTATTTCAAAATATTATATGCAGTATTCATTTTATTTATATAAATAAAACTTTTCAAAATAAATACTTTATGAATAAATAACTTCAAATAAATATTTTATAAATATTTTTATTCTACGTTAAATTTATAGTTTTAAAATACATATATTCAGTTTTCAAAATTTTAAAAATATATAAATGCTTTAATTTATAAATTATTTTAAATTTTTGAAATATTATATTATAATGATCTTTTTATAGCAAGTAAGGTAATAATTATTCGACTTTGAAATTAATTTTTTTATTAAAGTTTAATAAAACAATGTTAATTCAAGTAATAATTTTCTAAGACTGCACAACTTGGAGGTTATCATCCCCTCCTCTTAATTTGGAATATTGTTACATTTGTATTGAGGCACATTAAAAGATTGAATTCAATGGATTAAAAAATGATGAGATGTTGGAGATATATTGAAGAAAATGTGGGGTAGATAGACAATTGAAGATATATTGAAGAGTAGACGAGTAAAATTCAGTGGGATAATAATAATGGGAATTAGAATGAATTGAAGAATAAAAGGGATGAAATTAAAATGTGAAGCAATTTAGATTCAAGCATTCAACAACTTACCATTGGTTGATTTTCTCCAGCAAGGGATTAGGACTTCATTGTCGTCTCCTCCCCACAGGCTAGAACTTTCTGAGTATACCGTGGAAAGATACCGTTTCGTAGCCACGTCCTTTTCTTCTTTCCCGTTCGAATATACCGAAATATCTCCCTATAATCAGATCAAAAATTCAAAACATGGACAACCATGGAAGTAACGCTATTTAATTATAGCATATCGTCGATTATTTCAAAAAAAATAATTTTTAATAATTTGATACAACTCCATATTAGAAATATATGGAGCATAAATTGAAAATTGATTACAAATGCCCCATGATAAAAAGTGGATAATTATATTTGAATAGAATAAAGTATTCTCTGCTTTCTATATTAACTGTTCTTTATGACGTTTTTAATATATTTAAAAAATGAATTAATGTAGATGTTGCCTAAAAAAAGAATCTAGACATACTTTAATTTAAGACTCATTCATTTATCTTTAATTGTACTAAGAAAGTGTACTAAGAAAGTGATCATAAAAATCTAATAGTGTTCATAAAAATTTAATCTTTATTATAAAAATTTAATAAAGAATGTGCTAAACTCATTCATTTATCTTTGAATGTATTAAGATGATACCAGTTACTTATACACCAATTGCTTACGCCAGTTTGTTTAAAGCACCTACGGTGTGCCCAAACGTAAAAATAATGGTTCCTACCCCCTAAATTAACGAGAAAAAAATTGAACTAAGCTTATACTTGAAGGATGATCTGGGATATGATTTAGGGGCTGTTTGTTTCAGCCTCTTAATGGTTCAGTTGTCTGAATAGTTCAGCACTTAATGGTTCAGACTGTTTGTTTCAGCCTTTTAATGGTTCAGATGTCTGAATGGTTAAGAGATTTGCCTCTGAATGGTTAAGTATTATACAGAGTCTGAATGGTTAAGACCTTTTATCTGAATTGATCAGACATTTGCCTCTGAATAGTTAAGCAATATACAAGCTCTTAATGGTTCAGACCTCTTACTGGTTCAGCACTTAATGGTTCAGACCTCTTACTGGTTCAGCACTTACCGATTCAGAAGTTGCCAAACAGCCCCTTACTCCGCATAACTTTTTTTTGTAATTTGTTAATGTCATCTTACTTCTTCTATCTCGAATAACGGTTACAAGTTTGTTCACACACATGGTTACTAAAAAAGGAAATCTTTATTGATTGAGAGTTATGCAAGAGAGAAAATTGATAATTTTATACACCAAGGTTCCCATGACATTGGAATCCAATGTCATGGGATGACCCGAAAGCGCTCCGATGTTCCGTTCGTAAAATTGACGGTTCCTACCCCCCTAACCCCCCCGGTAAACCCCCCCCACCCCGCCCTGACCCGAACACACCCCCTACCCCCGTCAATTGCACCCCACAAGTTGAATTTGACTTTGGAGTCATTTTGACTCCAAAGTCAAATTCAACTTGTGGGGTGCAATTGACGGGGGTAGGGGGTGTGTTCGGGCCGGGGTGGGGGGGTTTGCCCGGGGGTTAGGGGGGTAGGAACCGTCAATTTTACGAACGGGGCACCAGAGCGCCCCCGGGTCATCCCCCGACATTGGATTCCAATGTCATGGGAACCTCACCCTAATTTTATATCATCAGTTTTGCAAATAAGAAATAATATGTTATTTTAGTTAAATAATAAATAAAAAAGAAAATGTAAAACCTTTTTTCAAAATGAAGGAAATTTAATTTCTAAGATGTACGGAGTAGTATGTAGTGATTTAGGGCCTGTTGTTTAGGACTGGAAAAAAAGAGCTGGATGTTGGAAGAAACTGGAAGAACTGGAAGAAACTGGAAGGAACTGGAAGAAACTGGAAGAAATTGGAAAAACTGAAAAAAATTAAAAGAAACTGAAAAAACTAGAAAAAATTGAAAAATCTAAAAAAAAAAATTAAAAAATTTTTTATGTGTGGTTTTATATTATTCTCATTCTGATTCTTGTTGTTATAAATTATCATTATTATTATTATTATTATTATTATTATTATTATTATTATTATTATTATTATTATTATTATTATTATTATTATTATTATTATTATTATTTATATTATTATTATTATTTTTTGTTGTTGTTGTTGGTGGTGCATGGTGGTAGTGGTGGTGTTATCACGTTATCTTAATGATTGTCTTTAAGATAAAAAAAATATTACGAGTATTATTTTTCATATATAAAAAGCTAGTTTAAAAAAATAATTTTAATATAAAATTAGCATAAATATTACACTTCTTGGGTCTTGATCCGGGGGTCTCTTGGAAACAGCCTCCCTACTTTCGAGTGGGGGCAAGGTCTGCGTACACACACCCTCCCCAGACCCTACTGTAGTGGGATTCAACTGGGTTGTTGTTGTATTACACTTCTTGGGTCATTTTTTCTTTTTCAAAATGTAGTTTTCTCTTGGTTTTCATAATGTAGTACTCCCCACCATATTCCACACTTTATATTTTAGATTAAAAAATTGATGTTTACCTTATATAAATTTAGATTAAAAAAATATTCTATATAACTATTTATCCATAATTTTTTAAATAGTTTCCTAATTTTTCATGTAGATTAATATACAAAAAACAATATTATTCATATTAAAAAGTTGAAGAAAAAAATAATAATGAATGTGAATCATAAAAATAGTGAGATGAAAAAATGAAATAATTTATAAACTATAGTTATAAACATAAAAGTTATAATTTAAAAAAAGTTGTAATAATAATAATATATATTTTTTAGATTGATTTGTCAGAAAGTAGAAAGAATTTGAAGAAAATAAATATAGTTGGAAGAAATTAAAAGAAACTGGAAAAAACTGGAAGAAACTAGAAGAAACTGGAAAAAACTGGAAGACCTGGAAGAAACTGGAAAGAACGGGAAGAAACTGGAAGTTAAAAGTTCAAGTTCTAAAGAACAGGCCTTTACTAGATTTCGTTTGAAGCATCCTCAGATCTAAAATATACTCCGTATTTCACTAAATCATTTTTATTATATATATATATATATATATATATATATATATATATATATATATATATGCAAATTGGTGTAAAATTAAAAAAATATTATATTCAAAACTACATCAAATATTTTACTTTGTATCAAATAATGCACCATAACTATTTTGTTATAACAAACGCTCGATGTAAATGAACAGAATATATAAATAGTGAATGTAGTGAAATTTGAAAGAAGTATCAAATGAATCATGCTATTGCTGTAAAAAAAATGGCATCAAACTTGGAGTACCACAAGATTAATTAATTCACTTTCAAATGCTTCTTATATTTGGACTTAGTGATCCACATTCTAAAAAGTTATTTTTAATGAATTAGTCTAAAATCTCAAAAAGTCTTTCCACTAATATAAAATGTCAAAGAGTACAGATTATGTAGTTACAATTTATATACAAGAAAATAATTTTTTTAATACAAACTACACAATTGTTTTAGTATGTAAAAGGACATCAATGTATGATGTTTTGTGTGCTTGAATACCCATTTTTGAGTAATTGAATACACATTTTCAAGTAACTGAATAATCATTTACGAGTATTGCAAAATTTGAGAAAAAATGAGTATTCAGTTACTCGAAAATGAGTATTTAGTTGCTCAAAAATGGGTATTCATTCAGTTGCTCGTAAATGGGTACTCATCACGGATTTACGAAAAATATTGTACAAGCGGTTGTAGGTATCTATTGCGAGAGGCAAGGATACATTAAAAAAAATGTCAGATATATATATGGAAATAACTAACTAAATGTATTGAATAATAAAGCAAGAAAAGGACAGATTGAATGGAATGTTAATTAGTAGTAGGTACCAAAAGGGGATCAATATGGTCTTTCTTGATCATGTTGCAGAGCATAAGAAGCATAGAAGCAGTGAGGCAACCGGCAAGTACATGCCTCAAGTCCTTTGCCATAATTGTATGTATGTAATCCAAACTCCTCTCTCCTTATCAACTCACTCTTTCTCCTCCGGTCATTTAAAGAATGAAAAAGCAGTTCGGTTTGGGCATTGGGAGAAAGGGTCATGCATGCATGGGGCCCATACGGCGACGTAAGAATTGCAAACACATCCTGCAAACGCAATAGCTAGATTTGAGAAAGCGACAAACCAAGACAGCTACGAGTGGCTACCTACCTACCTAGTCATCATCATGTTCAAATTGAAAGCTACCACCACCCTAATCACTTCTTCTTCTTCTTCTTTCCTTTTCTGCACGGAACCTAATCACTCCTTACTCCCTCCCTCATACTTTATTTCATTTGTCCCCTTTTTAATTAATTTAAAAGCTAGATTTTCATATTCACTTTCTTTAATTTTTAGCTACATTTACTACGTTTATTTATAGTAAGTGGATAACTTTGCCACTTTCAAAATACAAAGAAACAATATTATTATATGTAAGCGAACTTTTACCTTTATGCTTGGTTCCAAGAAATTGAAAGAGAAAAAATATATGGGAAACAATTTTTCTTGTTTGGTCAGAGAAGAAAAAGAAGAAATATTTAAGGAAAAGAACATAAGAAGGTATAATTTACTAACAAAAAGAAAATAAAATCCCTACCCTTTTGATGAGGATAATGAGAAAATAACTATTTATTTTTCTTTTCATAAACTTATTCTATTTTCAGGCCTCATTGATGTGTTAAATAATGGTTGGCTAGATTATCTTTCCTAACTCATAGACAAACTAGATGAATAATCTCAAAAGGATTAATTAATAAATTAGCTTAGCCAGATGTATTAATTAGTTAGTATCATCTTTAATTTAGACAAAAAAAATCTAATTAATCAAGTCTCTAACTTAAATCTAAGGTATTAAAATTAGCTCATTACTTTAATTCAATCCATACCCAAATATTTTTTAGTCCAAGGTCTTGGCTATTCTTTTTGTAAAATAAAAATCTATATTTTTCGGAGTTTTACTAGGGAGAAAAATTTATTTGTTTGGAGATGTTTGTTTTATTTAGATTTCTAGAGTTGCTGCAATTTTCAAAGATGACTCAAAAGATGTTATAGAACTCTATGACAGGATCTGCAAGGCCTGTGCGGGAATTTGAGTTCACGATTTACAAAATTAGAGTCGAAGATCTATTGGGACTATGACTACATGATGGGATATATTTAAAAAAAAAATCTAGCTGATATTTTGAGGCTTTAGGCTACTTTTGGATCAAAATTACAAAAGTTATATTCAAGACAACTTCTACTAACACATTCCTACTAGGATTAGGGTTTGAAGAGCCAATAATATATATGTAGTTGATCCCAAGAATTTCTTGGAGCGATTGATAAGGAAATAACACAGAATATATGTTGATGTAGAGCATTCTCATCGCGTCCTGGAGATTTCCTTACGTGAAGAAAGTTACAAACTACATGAAGAAGGAGATTTTAAAAGCCAAATAGAGCGTGATGTCTAGAAGATGAACCTGAGTCTAAGGAGAGGGGTGCCAACCATGTTTGTCCTTGTGATCTCAGTGAAGATGTGATAGCCAAAGCGGATTCAAACTGGGTTCAATTTAGAAATCCAACATTAGAAGTTTTGTCATAACAATTTGGAGAAGTGTGTCACATCATGTTGTTATGTACGAGTGTAACTTGCATCTACTGATTTAGTAGAGGGCTATTACACGGACGTGGGCCCAATAAATTAGGAGAGTTTCTTCGAACTCTGTAAACATATCTGGTGTTTTACTTTATGTTTTATAGTGATAGCATTCTGCCTAGTTGGCGCTATGTAACACTCTCTGCAGCATCTACTTTTGTGTATGTGCTTATGATGGAGAAGGTGTTATAGCACACTGTCTATGATTTGTTACTGTGACACTGCTACGTATATAATATCCTGTAAAGAGTTTTTTTGTTCGATGTATTTTCATAGCTTTTATTTGGTGATTTCCGCTACACTCCTGATTATTTCAATTGGTATCGGAGCAGTTGAGCTTAAAATATTAGTTTGATCTTTGTGTGGTTTATTACAGACAATCACGATGATCTGAATATGAGTTATAACACTTTTTAAAGTAAGATATGGTTATGGTGCATATCCTGAGGGGGGGTAATTTGCAAAAAGGGATGAAGCTCCGGTAGAAAATTCAGTTGGGAAGGACGTGCATGGATCTAAATGGTAGAATATTTTATTTTACGCTTGTAATTATTGTAATTCTCTTAAAAGAATTTGGTATTACTTTTCTTTTTTACCCAAAATAAATTTGACATATTTTGTGTCAAAAAGGGGGATAAAAAGTTGTATTCTTGAAAGATGCTTGAATCTTTGATACGCATGATGCACAATGTGTTTAGCCAAAAAATTGCCAAAGGGGGAGACTGTTAGTTTGAAGGCGTTAGTTAATCTTTTGGAAAAATAAAATCACATATTTGTTAGGAGTTTTACTAGGTAGACACCTCTATTTGTTAGAAGAGATTTATTTTATTTAGACTCCTAGAGTTGCTGTAATTTTTGGGGGTGACACAAAAGATCCTACAGCACCCTATGACGGGATCAGCAAGGCTTGTGCAAGAAAATGAGTTCGCGATTTGCAAAATTAGAGCGAGAGACATATTAGGACTGTGACTACATGCTGGATATATTTATAAAAAATCTAGCTGGTATTTTGAGGCTTTAGGCTACTTGTGGATCAAGTTTAAGAGGTTATATTCTAGACAACTTCTACTAACCTGTGCCGAGATCAGCAAGGCTTGTGCAGGAATATGAGTTCCCGATCTCCAAAATTAGAGTCAGAGACCTATTGGGACTATGACTACATGCTGGATATATTTATAAAAAATCCAATTGGTATTTTGAGGCTTAGGCTACTTGTAGATAAAGATTAAAGAAGTTGTATTCAAGACAACTTTTACTAACTTATTCCTAATAAGATTAGGGTTTGAAGATCCAATACATGTGCAGCTGATCACGGAGTCTCTTGGAGGGATTGAGAGGGAAAATCAAAAAATATATGCTGATATAGAGCACTCCCATCGCGTCTTGGAGCTTCCCTAGCGCGAAGGAAGTTACGATCTACATGAAGAAGGAGATTTTAAACGCCAAAGAGATCGTGATGTCCTGAATATTAACATGATCTTAAGGATAGGGTTGTAAACCATGTTTTTCCTTGTGATCATAGTGGAGATATTATAGTCAAAGTGGATTTGAACAAGGTTCGAGTTAGAAATCCTAATTTAGAAGTTTTGTCATAATAAGCCATATGTGTGTCATCATGTTGTTGTCTACCGGTGTAACTTGCATGTAGTGATTTAGTGGACGGCTATTACACGGACATGTGCCCCAACGATTATGAGAGTTTCTCCAAACTACGTAAACATATTTGGTGTTGTTCTTTACGTTTTATAGTTACACTTGTAGCGCCCCAAAACACACCCTAAAAGTATTATTGAATTAATATTTTACTAAACAAATTTGTTTTGATTAAAATAAACTATTATTGGGCCTTGGGCAAGAATTGAATGTGTTTTAATATCCAATGTCACAAACTGGAAAAATCTCGTTGAAATAAAACGAAAATGTAAACTCTATGTGTGATCTTAATTAGGGACCACTGTACAGACCCAAATCAAGATTTAGTAAATCATTAGATTTTAAAATATGAATTGAATATGAGAATCTTTAGAATTAAGATCAATTTTGACTTTATCATAGTCAAACACACAAAAATAAGGTCTCAAAAAAAGTATTTTAAATAAATGTGAAAAACATATATTTGCGTAGAGTTTGATTGTCTGATTGCAACAGTATAATTGGATTTCAATTTGGAGAAATTGTATACCAATTGGGATAAATTGGTTAAAATCAGTGGAGAAATCAATTAAATTAGCAGCCTCCTCCACTAGTCGAAAACTTGATCGTGAAATTGTCACCAAAATCACAGGACCTTAGCTTCATATCCTCTTCATTGCCTATATAAGGAGACCATTGTTCTCCTTCATCTACACATTATTTCTTCCCATTTTTCTTTCTTTGTGTCCCTCTAAGTATGGAGAGTTTAGTGGTGCTGCCCGGAGAGCTTGAGGTCGCCGAGGATAGCCATAATCGTCCATGGAAGTTTCGCCGGAAAATTTCCAAATCCTTCGTTTGACTCAAAGTGAGACCCTAGATATATCTAATGCTTAGAATATGCATATAGATTGTTTCTACGTTCATAAACAATCATTTGGTTGAGTTAAAATGGAAAATACATTTTTGATGAACCAAGAATCATAATCCTTCAAATTGTTATTAAAGAACATTTCTATATAGTTAAAATGATGTTTGGAAACTTAAAATGGTTTTTTGGAAGTTTGGACTGTTGGGGAAGACAAAGTGCTACTGGCTAATTTGCAGGAATGGTCGATCGTTTTGCCACAATGGCCGACCATTGCATGATCAGTAACTACCAGTACTACGATTGCAATAATGGTCGACCGCCACGGTCATTTTTAAGTGTTGATCAGCTCGAAAATCAACCTGAAAACCCCCATTTTTGTTACTTTTAAACTATAAATCAAAACTAATACTATTTAAACTAAATATAATGCTCTGAACAAAAATACCAAGTTCATGCATGACGGTAAGCTAGGATGTTAACACCTGACACTAGGTTGCTATATGTTTTAAAATATCATGTACGAATGATTATTATTAAATGATGTTTATGATTAATTGTGCCTATGTAAATATGATTATGAATTCATGACTATATCTTGATTAAACTAGGCTTATGATCATATTATATTGATGGTGACTTTACCTTGATTGAATATTGACACATTGTTAACATGGATTAAATGATGATAAATGTAGTTTGGATCATGATTGTTCAAAATATGACCATATGTTTGTATGATTAGAACTTGGATGATTGGGATTATTGAATACTATTATGATGATGATTATGTTGTGAATAACTTAATGTGTATGATATTGATTAAATTATGAATTGATTATTAAAGCTATCTAGAAGAACTCTAAGAGAGACCCACATATGATCGACCAATTTTGTAACGCCCCGAAACATACCCTAGAATTATTATTAAATAATAATTCGATTAAATAAATTTGTTTTGATTATTATTGGGCTTTGGGCTGATATGAAATATTTTTTTCATATCCAATATCAAAATCTGGATAAGTCTAATTGAGATAAATCCAATATGTGGACTATTTGTGTGGTCTTGATTGGGAACCTGAGTACAAACCCAAATCAAGAATAAATAAATTAATTAATTATGATGTGAACTTTGTAATGATTTATTGAAATAAATCATGAGAATAATTGATATGAATTAAATGAGAGAACCTTTTATGAGAAAGGTCAATTAAACCAATTTTGACTCTGTCAAAGTCAACCACCCAAAAATATGATGTCGGAAAAAGTATTACAAATAAATATAAAAATTATATCGTTCGATAGAGTTTAACTGCTCGATCGCAACGGTGCAAACAGAATTCAATTCGGAGAAAGTTGGACCAAAAAGTGTACCCCGACTGGAACCAAAATTGGTCCCAATCAGGGACACTGTGCGAACGGAACCTCCTTCCCCACTACGCCGATCGCAGAGTCACCATAGTTGTTTTCTTTTTCTCTCCTTCTCATTATATAAGAGAACCCAACCCTTCTCATTTCTACACCATTCTCTCTACTTCTTCTTCCATTGTGTTCTTGAGAGTGTAAGGAATATTGTGGTGCTGCCAATTTGGTGTGAGGTCGCCGGAGTTGAGAGTAATCATCGCCGGAAGTTTCGCCGGAAAATATCCAAAACCTTCGTTAAGCTTCGAGGTAAGCCCCTAGATATATCTAATGACTAGAATGTTCATATAGGTCGTTTCTACGTTCATAAATGGTCATTTGGTTGAGTTTTGTGTTTGACATACTTGAAGAACTAAGAATCATAAACCATGAAATTGATGTTAAAATTATGAATTAATGATGCTAAAATGATCCATGAACCTTGGAGAACATTTTTATATACTTTAATTGAAGTTTGGTGAGTAAAAGTGACATTTCCGCAAGTTGGCTCGAGGTAGAAGACGATGGATAATCGATTATCAACTTGAAAATCGATTATTCATCGTTCTGCAGATTTTTGTAACAAAGCTGAGCAACAGTCGATTATCAGAATGTGATAATCGACTATCAGCCCTCTCTGAAGTTTGATAATCGATTATCAGAGTGTGATAATCGATTATCAGCCCATTCTGAACATCAGACAGTAGATTATCAGAAGTGACAGTAGACTGTC